GTGGTTGCACCATTTTACACTCCCACCAACAGTGAATAAGGGTTCCAGTTTCTCCACAACCTCGCCAGCATTTGTTGCTTGCTGTTCTGTTAAATTTTGCCACTCTTACTGGGGTGAGATGATACCTCACAGTTGTTTTGCCAGGGACTTTCTTAGGGACTCCTGCTGTGTTTACGGGGCTCCTACCCAAAAGGCAATTGGGAAGTCATAGTTTGAGGGGGAAAAATGGGGACTATGCCCTTTTCTGCTCACCCACTGTTTTCTGTCACCCAGTGGCCCTGGACATTGAACCCTGGATCGGCCTGGGTTTCAGTGCTTAGGATGAGCAGACAAGAGTAATGGAGTTGGAGAGTGCAGCTCAGGAGGGATAGGAGAGAATGGAGTTCAGCTGCACTGAGGCACAAGCCTACTTTACTCTTGAATGACACTTAGATGTAGACCAGGGCAACTCTAGAACAGTATGTTTTGAGACATTTCCTTCCACCTCAGTGAATTCATGCTCTTGTGGCCTAGGGGCAAGCAGCTCTGCTGCAATCCTGAAGGCACACAGTTTGAATCCAACAGCTGCTCCGCAGGAGAAGGATAGGCTCTCACCTCTCATACAATTAACTGCCTCTGAAAACCCACAGGAGGGTCAGCTACGGGTCTGTTCTGACTCCATGGTACACAACAACAACAACAAAACAAACAAACAAGACTTAACTCTTAGAGAAGCCAGGGCAGTGAGGAAAAGAGAAGAAATATCCTCTTCTCCTTAGCATCTGATACAGCATTTAAGTCCTAGAGAGTAGCAATTACCTAGGCAGAGGGTATGGCTGTAAATCAACAAAGACATTCTACTTTCTAGATTCAATTTTCTACGAGAAAGCCAAGCTCCTGGGAGGTCATTAGGACCCTTATCTCTTCTCTTCACCTGACCATATTGTCCTGGTTAAAAACAATTCTTTCTGGAGGGCTTTCTTGTGTAGCTCTCCATGACTCCGAGTACCCACTGGTACTTTACCCACTGGGAGGCTCAAGCTGCAGAGCAGGCCTTTGGGTTCAGACGCCTTCACGGACTGTCCTGCTTGCTTCTTGTATCGCATGATGGGGATCTGTCCAACTGCCCACCGATCCATCCATTTATAAACTACCTACTGTGCGTCAGGCGCTCTCAGACAAGGGTTCAGGGGGGATGAGCAGTGATCCTGAATGTAGTCAATGTGCAGGCACAGACAGGGAAGGCACAAGATCAAATCAGGTTTCTCCAGCAGGTTTGTGTGTCAGAGTTGAGGAATGAATCTGGTGGCAGGGCTGATTCATGGTTGACATGTCAGGACAGGAAAGACAAAAGATAGGGGAGAGGAAAAGTTTCGTGGGGAAACGTGAAAGACAGGAAATCTTCCTCATTGTACATCACAATCCTGAGTCTGCAATCATGTGTGTGCATGTGTGTGTGTGTAGGGGTGTGTGTGAATGTGTGTGAGTGAGTGTGTATGTGCAGAAGGGTAAGATGGCAGAGGTAAGGAAGTGGTTAAAGAAGGAAGTCTTAATTGAAGCTCTTGTACCCATTCCAGGAATATGCAGTTCCCTTCTGTATCAAGCAACATAACAAACCAGCTCAGTCCCTACTCTGCCCAAGCATTCAAAACAAAAACAAAGCCTCATTTACTCACACATTTTA